AGCTTGGATATAGCTTAGCCCTTCTTATCCTCCTTCTCCTTCTCCTTCTCCTTCTCCTTCTCCTTCTCCTTCTCCTTCTCCTCATCCTTCTTCTCCTTCTCCTTCTCCTCCCCCTCCTTCTCCTTCTTCTTCTCCTCCTCCTCCTCCACGATGGTTGGTGAATGCTTTGGTGAGTTAAAGTGTGCTTAATATATGGCCTATATATGTCCATCCTGCCTCCATGCTGACATGTTGGAATATGTAAATTTCCATGTGAAATGTTGTATGCCATAATATTTCTTGTAGGAAATTGCATGCGTATAGTCCTAAATGATTATGTAATGGGAATGGGATGCATCCGGAGCGCCTCATTGGTGCATGCATGCATCCGGAGGCATATAGTCAATGGAGCATGCATCCATAACTAACTCAGCCTCCCTTGTCAGTGCATGCATCTGGAGCACCCATCAAGCAAAGACAGGGAGGCACTGGAGAGTCCGCTAGAGCCACTGGACTGTTCGACAGATTGCAGGACAGTGAAGGTAAGTGGAAAATGAGCTATTTTCCATTTGCATTGCTTGGACCCACTTGTCAGCACGAGTTGGAACCCTTCATCGGCTGAAGCCACTCCACTTCACCCCCACTCTCTCTCACTCACTCATTCATTTGCTTCACACCCCTCTCTGTCTCTACACTCAAGAATAAGGATGAACCCAAGAACTAGAGAGAGAAAGGATTGGAGAAGGAATAGGAGAAGAAGAAGAGAAGCACCTACATCATCTCATGGACTTCTTCAACATCTTCAACTTCATCTATGGTTAGCTCAAGAGAATTATCTCTCATTTTTTAGATTTTTCTCCAAAGACCTAATTTGTGGTTTTTGGTGCAAGATTGAAGATTTCTTGCTGGTGGTGGTTCTATCATATGTAGAGTAAGTTCAAGAGCACTTCACCTAGCTCAATCACCCATGCATCCCTTGGATTTCTTTTAATTCTTCTTCTTGGACCCTAACTGAACCAAACCTAAACCAAGTAACCCCGGAGTCCAATCGAGCGGAGTCTCCGCCACATACAGGGGAGAGTCCATCAAGATGATAGAGGATGTCATGTTGATTAGAAACTTACCCAAGAGGTCAACAATACTAAAACTAACTAGGTAATAAATAGTTCAATAGTAGAGCCAAGTTTGGATGCCTCTTCCCATGTTCCAAATCAAAGTCTCAATCTTTATCTCTATCTCCCTATCAATTGTCTCCAATTCCGTTTATCATCTCTCAGGGCTCTTTACAGACATGAGGAATGTGTATAAGTCATCATCGCCAGCTTCGATTATTCGAACGGCATGACCAGGCAGGCACCCCACTATTAGGAACCCTATTTTGGATACTTACTATTTGTTTCATTATGAGTTTGCATTTCATGTGAATATGATTAATGACTTAACATTGCTTCATTAACTTAAAGCTATACACTTAGTTGATCCTAGCCTTCACCTAACAAATGGTTGGGATTCGTTTAATGCTTAGTTGCTTAGCTTTGATAGAAGTCAAGTTTGAGAAAGGAACTCATTCTTGCGCATGTAGGATTGTTACACCGGGTTAATCAAGTACTAAAATTTTGTAAGGGTGACAACTTACCTTCTCTAATCATGATTATGGACCAATCCTAACTTGAATTATAATCTTGATGATCAATCAAAAATCTCTACTCATGCGAGGGGTAAGGTCACGGTGGGTGTTGGATCCCAGGTGACGTAGCTCGCGGAGTAATTAAGGACTGTTCATTGGGATAGTGAGTCTGAGTAGCCACCGGTACAGACCACATGTCACAAATGGGGGCGACAAGGCAAGTAACTAATTGCGACTTGCCTATCCGTGAAACTGGCACGAGGGTGGCGTCGGGTAGATGATGGTAGCATTACCCGGGAACTTATCAACGCCTTTGTGGATATTCTGGCTGGATTAGGGAAAGGTTAGAGACGTGAGGCAACCCTTACCCTTGCGCACGGTTATGGTGGTTAGTCTTGTTCTTCTGTGTGGGTACAGTTGTACACCTCTACAGAGTTCACTTGAAAGCCTGAAGTCCCTCGGGACGGAACCTTCGGTAGTTCTTACTTCTAGACCCATTGTAGAGAGAATGTGGAATTAATGATGAGTTGGATCATATTGTGATCACTTAAACTTTATGGATTTATTATTACCATACATAGAGTTACCATGACTAGATAAATTAAATCCAATTCATGAGCATGTCATACTTTAATAAACGCCATCGCTTTTCTGCAAATGTACAAATACCTGTTAAATCCATGCATCCACCAAATATTCTATGTTGGAATTAAGTCCTACGAGTATGCAATGTACTCACAGTGTTGCCGTTAAGTTGTTTTGCTAGTATCTTCGATTCGATTGACCTGAGCCAAGCTCACTCCGCCAATGATTAGTAGACCTTGGAATGGGCGATTCCAAGATGAGCTGTATGTTAACCCTGATAATTACTTCGAGTGAGATTAAAATGGAGATGAACCATACAGGGTTAATTAAGAAACATTTGTGTACCATTATCCCGTTGTTATTTGTTATCAAGTAAAGTTGAGTAGTTAACTCAAAATCCCTAGTGTGATGGCATAATATTCGTGTTACATGTTGGTATGCCATTTGGATGGTATTGTGGCACTCGACCGTTAAAAAGATCTTGAAGAGGAGATGTAGATGACATTCTCCTGAGGTGCCTCGTGTCGGTTGGGATTGGCACGGGTTGGTCAAGGGGGTGACACCTGTGTTAGTCTGACAGGTGCGGGATCACTTCCCTCACAGCTAGCATCTCTTGCACATGTTCTACTACGACTATGGTTGCCAGAAACATACCTTTCATACTCAGTTGAGATTTGCTACTCTTTGGCTATTTCGGTGACGGCCCTATTCACTTTGGTGTAGCTGATAGAACTTTGTTTCGGATCCTTCCCCAAGCATGGGCACTAAGTCCCAAGGGTGCCAAGCACTAGCCAAGGCCGGCCACTACTTCCTTTTATAGCCCCAAGAGCTAAGCTAGTCGTTTGGCAAAAACTGCTCATTCTACGTGCAGTGTTGGACCGTCCTACGTGTAGCGTCGGACCATTTCGTTAGGGTCCGATGGTCTTAGATCACGCCACATGTACTAGCCGTTTGAAGGCGGCCGTTGGTGCCCAACGGCTAAATCGCATGCGCCCTCTATGCGTACGGTCCGACACCCGTCAGATCATCCATGCATACGGTCCAACGTCCAACAGAGAACATCTAGAGAGCTCCAGACCAGTCAGACCAGGTCCTAGCATAGCTTCAGACCATTAAATGTAGGATCCGACGCTCAACAGAACATGTCCAGAAAGGTCCAGACTGGTCTGAACGGGTCCTACACATAGCGTCAGACCATTATGCGTAGGGTCTGACGCTCCTCTGTCTATGCATGGCGTTGGACCGACCTACGTGTAGCGTCGGACCATCTACTCGTGGGGTTAGACGCCTACAGAAAACACCTCCTTGCTTCTTTCTTCCTACCCTTTGCAAATATGCCAACACTACCAAGTGTAACACCACCTTATGCACATGTGTTAGCTTTTCACAAACATTTTTCAAAGGATTTTCACGTGCTTTTCCACGCCACTCGATCCTAGCATTGCATGCAAAGTTAGATCACTTAAGTGGCACTAGATGACCAATATGCAAATAAGTTTACCCCTCTTGATCGTACGACCATCTATCCTAAACCCGGTCATGCACTTCTCTACACAACCTTTGACTAGTGAAATAAAATGTCCTACAAGATATACCTTTGCCTTGCGCATTCCATTTCCTCCAATGTTGATGCCACACAAGCACTAACCTCCATAAACAAATGATATGATCCAATTCATATCATCATGTGACCTTTGGTTCATCGATCTCAACATCATTTGCTCTTCACTGTTGCCCTTCCATCGGTGCCAAGTCCTTGCTCAAGCTTCTCCGCCAGGTGCAGTGCGTCGCTCCAAAGCCTCCGACTAGCCCTTCACACTTGCAACCGGTCCATCAGGCTAAGCCTTGTCTTGATCTTCTTCACCTAGCCACATGACTCCATGTCATGTATCACATGCAATAAGCTGCTTCATCACATGTGTGAGAATTTCAATATATCCAAGCCATTTCTACCTCTATGGCACAGGTTGCTCACACTAGTGTATCTGTGGACTAATTACTTGTGTATCTTGATATAAACACATATTAGTTCACCTAGGTTGTCACTCAATTACCAAAACCAAACAAGGACCTTTCAACACATCAATTTTGTTTCGTCCCTTACAGATCCGGTGGACAGCGTCGGTGGTACCAGTGGGGCAGGTACAGCTCTCCCCATCTCCCTCCCTCTCTCTCTCCATCTCTTCATCTCCCTCACTCTTCCCACATCGGCGGCGGTGAGTGCAGGGAGGCCACACCCGGCAACAGCAACGTCGCCGGGGGCGGATCTGGCTACGGCGTGCCGAGATCTCTGGTGGGCGTGCTGGCGAGCTTTTTTTATTTTTTTGAAATCATTTACGTAGACGGACAAAAATGTCCACCTCGGTTAACCCCATTTATGCTGACAGGCTTTTTTGCCACCTGACGATTTGACGAGGCGGACATATGCCCGCCTGGGAAAACCTATTTTGATCGCCTGGGAAAAGAATTGTGTATATAGTAGTGTTGCTAAGCATGATAGCCAGATGCAATAATACTTTCTCATACCCTATCAGGAACCTCCAGCGACTACAATCTGTCCAACACAAGAAACTTCATCTTTCAAATCGTGCGCCATAAACAAATTAAAATTAATCACCTTCACGCAATCGTGCATTTCTCATTTCATTTTTTTTTTAAAAACATGACAGCTCGATCGGACCGACCTCCTATAAGATGCCACCTGATCACTCATCAGGTTCATCGTCACAGCCAGCCAGCTTCCGCTTCTCACCTCACGCGCGCTAGCTGCACACCCAAGCCAAGCATCACACCGCCGGCAACGGCCGGCATGGAGAAGAAGCGGGTGGTCATCGTCGGAGCAGGCGTCAGCGGCCTCACGGTGTGCAAGCACCTCCTGGAGCTCGGCTGCCAGCCGACCGTCTTCGAGGCTGACACCATGCTCGGCGGTGTGTGGGCGCGCGCCATGGCCAGCACCAAGCTCCAGACGCCGCGGTCCATGTACCAGTACTCCGACTTCCCGTGGCCGGAGAGCGTGACGGAGGAGTTCCTGAGCCACCGCCAGGTGGCGGCGTACCTCGACGCGTACGCGCGCCACTTCGGCGTGCTCAGCTGCGTCCGTTTCGGCCACCGGGTGGTCGGCATGGAGTACCACGGCGTCGGCGAGCAGGCCATGGCCGCGTGGGAGGAGTGGGCTGGGAACGGCCAGGCGTTCAGCTCCGGCGCCGGCGAGTGGCGGCTGTCGGTGGCCGACGACGACGGCCACGTGGAGGTGAGCTAGCATGCATTCGTGTTGTGCCCGAGATACAAATGACGCAGCTCCGTACTCTTTTTTTCGCTAAAATATACGTACATGCGGTACACTATCAAACAATAAAAAAATTTGACATGGTCAAAACTCAAAAGGATGAACCGAGCTAGATAAAAAAAAGCAACATAACTATATTTTACTCACATTTATATTTTGAAGGAAAAGTATTTCTATAAATAATACAGATATGATATTATTACTGAAAAGAATTCAAATATATGTCCATATCCATATTTGGAAAATTATTTTTTCATGTATGTGTGACAGCAATATTCCTATCGAATGGTTGTTGCGTGAGCATATCTATATCCGTTCAGCTATGGACATGGACATGGACATGGATATAAGTAAATATATATGGACCAGATATATGCCCGTGCGTTGCACTGGAGTCATAATTTTTTAAATTGAATCTCAGTAATCTCACGCAGACGCATGAGCTCCGACAACTTTGTATCGGACACGGACACGTGGATATAGTATTCGTATTATAACCGGGTAGGACACGGACGTGTGAGCTCTGAGTACAGTATGATACGTATCGGACTCCGACACGTGAAGGTGATCAAGGTTTGGTGTCACCGGGTAGATGATGACATTAGAGTCTTTTTAGGTGTAAAGATAGAGATATGGACATATATACCTGAACAGATCTGGATTTATATATGTACGTAACCCAACAAAATTCATATCTTCTCAGCATAACTCAACAGTTGTGGACACTTTTGATACCAAAACTAAAGTTCAGTCCTAAACCATCTAAATGGGTGGACTATTTTTTAGTCCCTAACTAACAACAACTAGTTCACTAACATGGGCGGATCGAGCGGTGGGGCGGGCGGGGCTCAAGCTCTCCCACCCAAGGGCGCCACCTCCGCCCTCCTTCTGCTTCCGTGACAATGGAGTATCTCCTTTAGTGTTAGCGCTTCGACTCCTGAGATTGTACTGGTGGTGGACTGGAGGTCGTGGCTTGAAGAGACGCCGGCGAACTGGAGGTGCCGTGGCCGGCGTCGAGCTCTCGCGAGTAGATGGAAAGGAGAATACGTGCAGGAGAATAGGCTGGGGGCCCAAGGGAGACGTGAGTCTCAATCCCAGGCTTGCCTTTCATTAAGCACTAGAGTTTGGTACTTATACAATTGATCCTATCAACTTGAATCTAATCCTGACTCAAATAACAAACTGACTGAATAACAAATTCCTGAAATCTAGGACTCTTGATAACTAAACCTCACGTGACTAGGCACCAGCCTCATGGTGGCCCCACTGCTCAGCCACGGTTCCTTTGGCGATATACTTTCCCAGTCATAACATCTCTCCCCCCCTCGACGAACAGCTCGTCCTCGAGCTGAAACGCCGGAAAGAGGGCGCGAAACTCCTCAACGGGCTCCCACGTAGCTTCAGTATCTGGAAGACCGTCCCATTGAACCAAGACGTGCCAAACACCGCGACGAAGCTGACCCCGGACGGCACGGGCAGGGCGATGAAGAACCCGGCCGTTCCGAAGTGGAGGAAGCGGCGGTGTCGACTCTGGCGGTGTGCCATGGAAGGGCTTGAGCACACCCACATGGAACACATCATGGATGCGCGTGTGCTCCGGAAGACGAAGACGATAGGCCACCTGTCCAACACGTTCTGTGATCTGGTATGGACCAGCGAAGCGGGGGGCGAGCTTGCCCCGAAACCCCGGCGCCAAAGACTGGGCTGGACGATGAAGGATCCGCAAGAGGACCCAGTCGCCCACAGCAAGCTCCAGGGGCCGATGGCGAGCGTCATAGGACTCCTTAGCATATGCCTGAGCCTGCAACAAACGATCCCGTACCTCTGCAAGGAAGTCGTCACGGTCACGAAGTAAGCCGTCCACAGCCTCAGTCCGTGCAGTACCGGCCGTGTAGGGCAGAAGGGCTGGCGGAGGCCGGCCGTACACCACCTCAAATGGTGTCGTCCGGAGCGAGGAGTGATAAGATGTGTTGTAACAATATTCGGCCCACGGTAACCAATCAATCCAGGAACGAGGCCGATCTCCAGTAATGCACCGCAAATACATGGCAATAGTACGATTGACGACTTCGTACTGACCATCCGTCTGTGGGTGAAATGCAGTGCTCATCCGAAGTTTGACGCCAGCAAGCTTGAACAGATCTCTCCACACATTCCCAGTGAACACGGGATCCCGATCCGAGACAATGGAGGCTGGAAACCCATGGAGGCGAACAATGCCCTTGAAGAAGCTTTTAGCGACACTTGCAGCAGTGTAGGGGTGACTCAATGCAATGAAATGAGCATGTTTTGAGAAACGATCAACCACCGTGAGTATGACGCTCTTCCCACCGACCCGAGGAAGGCCCTCGATGAAGTCCAGCGCGATATCAGACCAAACCTGCGTTGGGACCTGCAATGGCTGCAAGAGGCCTGCTGGATGAAGGTGATCAGTTTTATTCTTCTGGCAGACCGGGCAGGAACGGATTAACTCGCTAACCAACCGGCGATCATGATCAACCACAAAATCCTGGCGCAAGCGCTGGAGTGTCTTCTGAGTTCCTTCGTGACCCACTTCATGGGCAAGTTGGAGCACCACTGGTAGCGCCGCTGAAGCTGCCGGCACATAAACTCGTGAGCCCCGGAGGATGAGGCCATGCTCCACACGCCAGGGAGCCCCGCGCTCAGCTACCACCGAATCACGGAGCGCGCGGAGGGCTGCATCGTGCTCCAGTTCGTGACGGAGGTCATCATAGAGTTGGAATGAAGGTCCTGACAGAGCCAGCACATGTGCAGCTTCATCCTCCCGTCTGGACAAGGCATCGGCGACGGTATTCAAGTGGCCCGGTCTATACTCCACCACAAAATCATAGCCAAAAAGCTTACTCACCCAATGATGCTGCGGCACTGTAGAAAGACGTTGGTCGAGCAAAAATTTCAAGGCATAATGGTCTGTCCGTACTGTGAACGAACGCCCCCAAAGGTATGGCCTCCAGTGTCGAACCGCCTGGACCAGGCCTATCAACTCGCGCTCATATGCAGCCAGCTTCAAATGACGGGCGGCAAAAGGTCGGCTGAAGTAGGCCAGGGCGCCTGACCCCTGGTGTAGGACTGCCCCAAAACCCGAGCCCGAAGCATCACAATCCACTGTGAACTGTCGATCAAAATCAGGAAGCTGCAGTACAGGCGTAGTGGACAGAGCTTGTTTGAGGGCGTCAAATGCTGCTGTTGCTTCATCTGTCCAGGTGAAACCATCCTTGCGAAGTAAAGCAGTGAGAGGGGCAGCAATAGTTCCATAATTCCTGATAAACTTGCGATAGTATCCTGCGAGGCCGAGGAAACCACGAAGACCACGCGCTGAGCGGGGCTGCGGCCAGCTGGCCACTGCTGCCACCTTCTCGCCATCCATGGCGACGCCGTCCGATGAAATGATGTGCCCCAGATATGCCACGGACGTTGTCGCGAACGCACACTTGGATCGTTTAAGCCGCAATTGGTGATCCCGAAGGGCCGAGAGCACCAAGTTCATGTGTTGGAGGTGTAGAGACCATGAAGGGCTGTATATCAAAATATCGTCAAAAAACACCAAGACGAACTTACGAAGATACGGGCGAAGAACGGTGTTCATCAAGGCCTGGAACGTGGCGGGAGCGTTCGTGAGCCCGAAGGGCATCACCAGGAACTCAAAGTGGCCTTCATGGGTCCGGAAGGCTGTCTTCTCGACGTCGGCTGCGTGCATGCGCACTTGATGATATCCAGAGCGCAAGTCAAGTTTTGTGAAGAACCGTGCGCCCTGAAGCTCATCCAACAGTTCCTCGACAACCGGAATCGGAAACTTATCCTTCACTGTCTGTTTGTTGAGGGCGCGATAATCCACGCAAAAACGCCAAGAGCCATCTTGCTTTTTGACGAGGAGAACTGGCGCGGAGAAAGCTGAGGTGCTAGGACGTATGATGCCTTGCTGTAGCATCGCTGCACACTGTTGCTCGAGTTCGTCCTTTTGGAGTTGTGGGTACCGGTAGGGGCGCACCGCAACGGGTTCCGTGTTTGAGTTCAGATGAATGCGATGGTCACATTCACGGGCCGGGGGCAGCCCGCGAGGCTCGGAGAAGACGTCTTCAAAGGACAGGAGCAGCCTGTCAAGCACTGCTTGCTCCGTGGCGCGGACAGAGTTGAGGCGCTGCGTTGACTGTACGTCGTAGCGAGTAGAACCGACTCCCCTCCAGAACACGCGGTGACCACCGCGCGTGAACGCCATACAGAGATCGTCGAAGTCCCACAATATTGGCCCAAGCGTGCGAAGGAATGCCACGCCCAATACCATATCCCATCTGTCCAAAGGAATCGTGTAGCAGTCCACCGAAAAGCTTTCATCCGCGATCCGTATGCCCACGTCACGAGCAAGGCCGCGACAGGCTACTCGATCCCCATTGGCAACGATGACGCCCGCGCCGGGGCATGGATCGAAGTGCAATCCGACCCGGCGGGCAACATCTTCTCGGACGAAATTATGAGTGGATCCTGAGTCCAGCAGCGCAAGACATTGAACGTTGCCGATCTGGACGTATACCTGCATAGTATCTTCCGTCCGTACGCCGGCGATGGCAGCCAGCGAGATCGTTGGAGGTGCTGTAGCAGTGTTCATGGGCTGCTTGTCATCATCCGAATCATCTGGCTCTTCGACAATATAATCAGCAGCCTCCAAATAAAATAGACGCTTGCACTTATGGCCTTGCACATACGGCTCATCACAATTATAACAAAGGCCCTGTTTGCGGCGCTCGCTCATCTCTGCTGGTGTCAGGAACCTGAAGGGTCGTGGAGAGGATGCTGATGATGCGGTCTGGGACCCCGACACCCCTGTGGACGGCTGGCTGCCTTGACCTTGGGCAGGGCGACGTGGAGGCCGGCCAGACGGGGCAGGGAGCGCGAGCGTTGTTGCGGCATTACGACGCTCATAAGCACGCGCCAAACGCATGGCACGATGGAGGTCCTGAGGTTCGTGCAACTCCACGTCAATTCTGATGTGCTCCGGAAGGCCACCTGTGAATAGCTGAGCCTGCTGGAGGGGCTGCAGCCGTCCTGCGTGCGCTAAGCGCGCCTGGAACGCGGACATGTAAGCGTCAACATTCGTAGTGAACGGCAGTCGGGCAAGGTCGGCGAGGTGGTTGGTGGAGAGCGCCGGCCCAAATCGCTGGTGACACAGGAGTCTGAAGTTCTCCCACGACGGCCTACCGGTGTCCCTCTCCATGATATAATACCACTGCTGGGCATCACCGGTCATGTGGAACGAAGCTAACCACACCTTGTCTGCCTCCTTAGTCAACTGGCCGCGGAAGAACGACTCAGCGGTTTAACCAGCCGAGGGGATCTTCCTTGCCGTCATAAACAGGAAAGGACAGCTTGTGGTACTTGGGGACTCCATGGCTCTCCCCGTCGCCTTCAGACTGCTGCTGCCCGTGCAGACGAGGAGGTAAGTCATGGAGCACCGTGGCCGACGAGTAGACCGGCCCGTGTAGGATGGAGGACAGCGACGGAATCGGCGACGGTGAAGACGGAAACTGAATGGACTGGATCGGCACGCCAGTCTGTGGCGGTGTGAGCCTACAGCTGGTGACACCGGAAGCGACGTCGTGGGCACCGGCAATGGCGGCGTAGGCAGAATCTCGGAGATGACGGGCCCTGATGCCGGAAGCGCTGGGATGCCCCCATACCCCGGCATGCCATACCGCAGGCGGCGCGGATCGGAATACGGCAGCAATGGCGGTCCTGACGGACCAGGACGGCTCTCGATGGAGGCCACCCGCAAAGACAGCTCTCCCATCTGGCGCTGCATGCCGTCAAACATGGCGCCCATCTGTTGTTGCGCCTGTACCAGGGCAGCCAATGATTCTTCGATGGTGGGCGGCGCTGGCGGTGGCGCCGGCGTTCCGGAGGTTGTCACCGGAGCCGACGAGACGATGGGAAGTGTGGTTGCGCCCGAGGAAGCGACCGGTGACGTGGCCGAGCCGGTAGAGGGCACAACGGAGGAGGAGAAAGTCCCAGAGGAAGCCATGATCTCTGATACCAAGTTGTTAGCGCTTCGACTCCTGAGATTGTACTGGTGGTGGACTGGAGGTCGTGGCTTGAAGAGACGCCGGCGAACTGGAGGTGCCGTGGCCGGCGTCGAGCTCTCGCGAGTAGATGGAAAGGAGAATACGTGCAGGAGAATAGGCTGGGGGCCCAAGGGAGACGTGAGTCTCAATCCCAGGCTTGCCCTTTCATTAAGCACTAGAGTTTGGTACTTATACAATTGATCCTATCAACTTGAATCTAATCCTGACTCAAATAACAAACTGACTGAATAACAAATTCCTGAAATCTAGGACTCTTGATAACTAAACCTCACGTGACTAGGCACCAGCCTCATGGTGGCCCCACTGCTCAGCCACGGTTCCTTCGGCGATATACTTTCCCAGTCATAACATTTAGTCTCTCCTAATTTATATATAGACATAGAAAATAGAAAGAATGAGCACTAGAGCTTGAAGATGAACTTTAGCCGCCTCTTCTATGAATTTCTAGGTCCACCACAAATCACTAGTAGTAGCTAATAGTCCATGTATGCAAATAGGACTAAACTTTAGAGGAGTTAGACTAATACCTAGTTCTAGGCGATCCAAACAGGACCTCGTAATTGCGTGAACTCAGCTTGGCTGGTAAAATCTAGTCTAGTGCTTTATTTTACTCCATACGACCCATGCTGTAGTTTGTGGCAACCCAAACAGACCATAATATAAATATGCACCTAGGAATTAAAAAAATAACTTGAGCCTACAAACAAACAACAACAGAGTATGCATGTTTACATACAGAGTACCGTTGTCTAATCCAGAAATTGGTTTTTACCTTTACGCAGACACACAAAGCAGACTTTGTCGTTCTTTGCATAGGGATGTTCAGTGGTGTGCCCGACATACCCACATTCCCAGCAGGTAAAGGTCCAGAAGTATTTGATGGGCATGTGATCCACTCCATGGATTATGCCAAAATGGGCACAAGTAAAGCTAAGGAGATGATCAGGGGCAAGCGTGTGACTGTCGTTGGCTACATGAAATCTGCACTTGATATTGCCGCTGAATGTGCCGAAGTAAATGGTACGGCGCAGATATATAGTCCTCTTCATCACTCCCTCTGGAAATCTAATATTATCTATTTGACAATCTAAATTGATATTTGTATATATCTTATAGCATTTTGAACAGTTGTTAGAACTAAAACTTCAGAGTTACAGTATTTAAAAATGTTCTGTACACATCCACTTAACGTTGGTTTGTGCTGTAGGCACTGCTCACCCATGTACAATGGTGGTCCGGACAAAGCACTGGATCGTACCGGACTACTGCGTCTGGGGCATCAATGGCAAAAACTTCACTCTCAACCGTTTCTCTGAACTCCTCATCCACAAGCCTGGCGAGGGCCTCCTCCTGTCGATCTTGGCCACTCTCCTGACTCCCTTGGTAACTACATAAACTAATGTCTAACGCATTCAGTTATTGGTAGTACTCCCTTCGTCCCCAAAAGAATGCAATTCTGGAACAGTATCATATTTTATATACCAAGTTTGGCCAATTATAAATAAAAACGTATAAATATTTATAATATCAAATAAATATCATTACATTAATTACGAAATATATTTTCATAATAAATTGATTTGGAGTCATAAATGTGAATACTATTTACTGAAAACTTGGTTAAACGTGAAGCACTTTAACTGACACGCATATCATAGTTGCGTTATTTAGGGACATAGGTACTTCTGTAATCATTAATTAACAACTGATAAACTGTCACGATCCCTCACTGCTGAATAGCAATTATGCAAGAGTAACTGCAAATTGGGAAGGATTAGAGAGAACTGGACTAGGTACAGCAAGGAATCAGGGGTAGAGATAGCAAGAACGGCGAGGAAGCTGAGTCCTAGACGGAGGTAGACGACGACTTCGTATTATCTTCCCTCCCTGTGCAGTTTGTTTGAGCAGGCCCAAAGTCCTCCCCACATGTCCAGCGCTCGATCCGATAGCCCATGTCGATGGCCCACTTATCTGACAGTAGAGTACCTTACCTGACATAAACATATATCTATACTCTATACCTAATAATAAAGAGGCAAATTTTCAACGGCTAATAAATTTTCGTCCAACTCTGATCTCTATTCGGACACTATTTTTTATGTCCGGTCGTTTCTTTCCTTGTTTGTTTTCGAAGTCGTGTTCAGTACGGAAGAAGAAAAAGAAGGGGTTGAGGGAGGAATGTGAAAGAACTAATAAATTTCCGTCCAACTCTAATATCTATTCGGATTCTATTTTTTATGTCTGGTCGTTTCTTTCCTCGTTTCATTTCGAAGTCGCGTTCAGTATGGAAGAAGAAGAAGAAGGGGTTGAGGGAGGAATGTGAAAGAAATAACGTGGTTCCAGATGCAAAGATACTAGAGACAAAGAAATAATAGAAGGGCTTAAGCGATTTTAGAAACAAATTTAGGGTTCCTGATGCAAAAAATCCTTTTATTTTTTCTTTTATTTGCTTGGGCCTACTATGGTGGGCCTCGGATTCGGCCTCAGGCTGCGCTGCGGGCTAGGCCGAAGCCAATGGCTCAGCCGCACATAAGACCTTTTCCTTTCTTTTCTGTTGCCTTTTCTTTTAAACCAGTTGAGAATTCTAAAAATCATAAAAAATCATGGAAAAATCACAAAAATACCGGCAGCACGGTAGGCCTTTTTCTTTCTTTTCTGTTTCCTTTTCTTTTGAACCAGTTGAGAATTTTAAAAATCATATAAAAATTACAAAAATACCAAACCAGTTTTGTTACACTCCCTTTGACTTGGGCTACACAGTAAACATATAATATAATATTCTTTAGTATAAAGATTTCGATGTATCTATGGATCTATGCTTTTATGTAATTAATTTGCTGAAATTTTTATCTATATCTATATCTATATCTACTCTCATCGTCTCCAATTATTTATGTGTTCTAGATCTACCTATACCTGACATATTATTAATTAAAGAGCCAAAATTTTAGCCCTTTTTTGGTTGGCTTCCCCTAACTACCTGATAGTGTAGTTTCTTTCGTCCAGACTTATATAACATGTGCTCATGCGAATTAGAACTGCTCACGTCTATCGTGATACGGAGTCCGATTCTAAGATGTACTAGGTTGTGTATATGATCCGGACTCATGAGCTGTGCTTATACAAGTTAGAACAACTCACGTTTAAAGATGATTAAGTTGAGTGTGAGCCAATGGCGGTAGCTTAACTTGGTCCGGGTAATTGGAGGGTCGCCAGAGGCCAGATCCGGCCGCAGCTAGGGCCTAGCAGGCGCAGCTGGGAGCAGCCCTGGGAAAGCTAGCGCAAGCCAGGTGCGATTGCAACCCCCACCCCAACCTAAATGGCATGACCATATCTAGCGAGTCAGTAGCTTGCGGCAGGTTGATGGTGGTCATGTTTGACCTGAATTGATATAAGCGACTGCGACAAAGAAAATACATACGTGACGAAAAAAATCGGAGAGAGAAGGAAACAACTTGCTATTGAATGTGGAAAGTTAGTTGGAGAAGAATTTCAGCAATTTCTTATCTGTAACTCGCTGAGTGTGAAAACTGTCTCTGCTTGTGCCACTGACAATACAATAAATTGTTCTCCCGTTGTAACGCACGGGTATATTTGCTAGTAAACACTAATGTCTAATGCATCCAGTTATTACTACTTCTGTAATAATTAATAACTGATATACATATATACTACTTTTCGGAGTGATGAATTCAGAAATAAATTAAATAATTTGTGTGTTTAATTTAACTGTGTGTGTAGAGGTGGGCGTTCTATTAGTTGGCCGAGAGCTACTACTCCATCCCAATGAAGAAGCACGGCATGGTGCCTGACCACAGCCTGTTCCATGCGCTGGCTGCGGTCTTCATCTGCGTTTCGCCCAAGGACCACTACAAGAGGCTGGAAGAAGGCAGCATCATGCTCAAGAAGTCCAATCATGGTCAAGAAGTCCAAGACATTCAGCTTATGCAAGGAAGGCGTGCTCGTGGAGGGCGAGCCGTCGCCGGTCAAGAGCGACGTGGCGATCTTCGGCACCGGGTTCAAGGGCGACGAGAAGATCAAGGACATGTTCACTTCAGAGTACTTCCGGAACGTCGATATTGGGTCAGAATCCACTACTGTGCCTCTCTACAGGTATATATGTATATATATGTTTCTCACCATTTGTCCTAATTTGAACTCTCGATCTTGGCCATCATTTATGAGTCGTGCTAAATTTTCAAACATGCATGTTTCACAAACAGAGAGTGCATAAATCCTAAGATACCCATTCGAATATCTACGCCTCGGACATTCGCGCCAAGTGGTTGGCACGCTTCTTGGACGGCAGCTTCAGACTACCGAACGTCGCGGCAATGCAGAAGGATGTGCTCTCGAATGGGAGAAGTACATGAAGAGATACTGTGGAAGATACTTCCGCCGGTCCAGCATCATGATCCTGAACACTTGGTACAACGACCAGCTCTGCCGTGACATGGGGTGCAATCCTAGGAGGAAGAAGGGGCTGTTTTCAGAACTGTTTGAGCTCTATGGCCCTGGTGATTATGCTAACCTACTCTCCAACTCCAAGTCCAAGGAACACTAGAACTTGTGTCTAGATTCCTTTGGCACGTACGGATCACTTTATGCTCTCAGATATTATTGTTACAGCGAATAGTGCTGTGAAATGTGTGATGACCATCTTTGCACTTATCTAAAAGATGTAAAGCTTTCATGGTATATAGAAAATTTGGATGTACGTTACTCCCTCGGTCCACAAAAGATTGCAAGTTTGTGATATCTCCAAGTCAAACTAGTTTAACCTTGACCAAGTTTATACTTTTTTGAGCAAAGACCGAGTTTATACTTGATAGGATTGAAACCGGCAGTGTTGAGTCGGGCAACACTACCGATTCAGTACTCGAGCCGGCAGTGCTATGTCAATCATCACTGCCAGTGTTTGGTGAACCGGTAATGATCTCTTTTTTTTGCATTTTGTTATTTTATAATTTATTTTATATTTTTGTGTGGTACTCTATATTTGCTATGTATACTAGGTTCACATAGATCACAAACCCATCAGGATTTATATTACAAAAGCTACGGTTACATTGAAAACGTATTTATCAAAGACGAAGACACTATCACAAATCTATCTAAATCCCTATTACAATAGTCTCTCGAGGTCCTCTTTACCATATGATACCTTGAACTTCTTAGGCCGTGCCATGAAGAATAGCCCCTTTATGCCTGAGCCTGGGAGAGAATTAACTCCGGTTCGAACCTTTTGCGCGAAGCGAGGACGAAAGCGCAAGAGAGTTAATTAGCAGGTGTGGTCCATTCAACATGTAGAGTGGATTTTAGCCGTCTTCCCGGGCTGAGGCGTTACAAATGGTATCAGAGCCAACTCTCGCGGTTTCACGAACATTTGAACATATGGCTCAGGAGCTCGGACAGGTTGGGCATGGCTCTACAAGAGCATGGCACTTGGGCCGGGGAGCTGGGAATATGGACGTGGCCAAGAGAGTCAATCCTGGACATTTATCCTATTTGGGTAGGTTGGTTCGGCCCTCGACGAGGATGTCGAGTCCTCAAGGGTAGGTGTATGTGAGACCCCGCTAAATGGGCCATGTTGGGATGGTCCGGTGGGGTGGGCCGAATGGCACTGTAGCTATGAGACTTTAGTCCCATATCGGAACCTAAGGGGAAACCGAACCAACTTAAAAGCCTAACAGCCTGTTCGCTTAGTCGTATTTGGCTTATAAGCTATGGCTTATCAGCCACCGAACAATATTTTTCTCTCACACCAAACCAGCCAACAATACTTTCAGCCATGGCTTATAAGCCAAACCAGCCTAAACGAATAGGGCGTAAGCCTGGGAGAGAATTAACTCTGGTTTAAACCTTTTGCGTGAAGCGAGGACAAAAGCGCAAGAAAGTTAATCAGCAGGTGTGGTCCATTCAACGTGTAGAGTGGATCTTAGCCGTCTTCCCGGGCTGAGGCATTACAATAGTGAACTATGCCGACCTTCCTTGGAAGTGGATCGAGAGATTAGCTACCCCGGGCGAAAGGGTAAATCACGACTAACAGTGAAAGTGTACAAACTTTGCAGAGTGTAAAACTGGTATATCAGCTGTGCTCACAGTCACGAGCGGCATTGGAACATTTAGGGAATAGACGATGAACATTGATGATACTGATGATAAAGATGCTCACTAATGATTACTGTTTATGCTATTCATTATTCATGTTTACCTGATCATATGTTTACATGGGCTGGTGATAAACTTGTTGCTACTCAATTGCTAAAATTGTGACAATTAAAAGCTAATCACAGTTAAACAAGTGTCAGCCTTTTGAGCCTCATGAACCCCATGTTATATTTGTTGAGTACGACATGTACTTACACTTGCTTTATTTTCAA